CCCCACTGCGATGGAAAGATCAGGTGGAGAAGGACTTGGCTTCACTTGGCGTTTCCAATTGGCGTCAGTTGGCACAGAGGAGAAACGACTGGCGTGCTTTGCTGAACTCGGCCAAAATCGCTTAGGCGGTTACAGCGCCAAAAAAGAAAAAGAAGAAGATTGAAAAGTATAAGTATAATAAATAAATGATTTTAAGAAGAGGTTCAGTAACGGCTTGAACAATACGACGGCTCGACGGAAACTACTTTGGCCACTTAACAACGTGAACGACGATTCGACCACCAACTGATTCGCGACTCAGTAAAAGTGAGGAGTAAACGTGAAGATTTTACCACAAATTATTACAATAAAGAATTTGAACTTTGAGTAAAGAATTTGAAACATTGGCGTCCCTTGCGGGGAATCTACGGCCTCTGATGTAAAGCATAAAGTGAAAAGACAGTTCGCTTTAGAAGCGGCGAATTTATATCGAACAAAGTAAGGAACAAAGTCTACATTGCCGAAAAAATCAAACATCTGTGCCTTACCAAACTCGGTTGAATTCTCCACAAAAGTTGTTTGCCACGTGTAATATCAGTAGCTAACCTAACTTCGCGCAGATAGATACATGCATACATTACATCTCATAGAATCGCTGCTGTCAAAACTGCCCTGAGAACTTCCAACTTAATAGTCTCCATAATTTGCATACAGCGGCTTTAAAACTTTTATCTGGTATCTCACTGCTTTTTGACATTCCAATTAGCAATGGAGAGAAATTATAAGCAGCTGATGACAAACAAATTGGCAATTGTCAATTTCGCATCGAATTCTAGGAAGACGGCGAAAAGTAAACACATAAAAGGATTTTTGCAAGCTAGGAAGTTATTGTTGGAACAGTACTGGAATAAGTTCACAGAGATTCATGAACAAATAATTTGCGAATCGACTGAAGAACAGCGCGCTGCTGCCGAGTTTGCTGATGATTACGAAATCGGAGAACTTACGTACGCTGAGATGATGGGTGACCTGAATGATATTTAAGAGACGTCAGCTGCGCCCCAACAAATGTCAACTTCAACATCGCCACCTATTCAGCACGTCGCCCAAGCGTGCACTAAAACATCTTGACCGTCCCGTCGAGCTATGGGACGACTGATAAATTTTTATAATCGTTCATAATTTGGGCCCTATCACTAGAAAAGCATGGGAGCTTTCCCTAAAATCCAACGACAGCATTCCTACCTTTAAGGAACTGGAAGAGTTTCTTGCAAGCCGAACGCAGTCTCTGGAGATAGTCCAGAGTTTCACTGAAGATAAACACCAAACAAAGGAGACTTCGACGAGAAAATCTAACGCCACACACGGAGTATCGGGTTACCATACTACATAAACTGCCTACGGGGTGGCCATCAGCAATCTCATTTTCCTTCTGAGAGGCGCTGTTACACCTGTAACGCCAAGCATCACACCATGTTGCATGATTACTTTATTTTAAACCCGGCTACCGGAAGCACAAAGCCTGTCTCAGCACACCATGTAACTCAGACAAAACATAAATGCTCTCTTCCACAAGTAGTACTAGGTACCGCATTGGTTGACGTGCGGTCCGAACGTGGACATACAACGGTACTTCGGGCATTACTCGACAGTGGAGCGGAGGCAGAATTTGTAAGTGAGTATGCAGTCAATTTACTAAATTTGCCCAAATCGAATATTAAAGTATCTATAAATGGAGCTAACGGCGGCAGAGTCGCCACTGCAAAAGGTCTGGTCAGTTTTACCTTACATTCTCTCAAAAATAACTCCAACATGCCATGCACAGCACTCGTACTACCTCGGGTAGGCAACATAACTCCTACGTTGAGAATCGGAGCCAGTGAGCTGCAACATTTTAGCGACCTGGATTTAGCGGATCCAAAGCTCACCATTCCTCAATCCATCGACATGACTGTTAATGCTGAAATTTACGCCGAAGTATTGTTAAGTGGAATACGTCGTAGCCGCACAAATAACTTTATTGCTCAAAATACGCAGTTGGGTTGGGTTGTGTTCGGAGGTTACCACGAACATGCACTAGTCACACCTAAGCATACGGTTGAGTGTCACAATGCTCAAATTGATATTGATCGAACTCTCCGCCGCTTCTGGGAGATAGAAGAGCTGAACACAGTGGCTTGCTATACTGAAGACGAGCGCTACGTCGAAGAGTATTTTCAAAACACCACATACCGAAGGAAGGACGGGCGTTACATTGTTCGTCTGCCTGTTAAACGTGACGAAGACTTGAAGCAACTCATCCCTACGCAACGTGACGCGGTAGTTTTTCACGAACACTTGCAATGCAGGCTATTTCGAAATGCAACAATGCGAACCATGTATACAGATTTTCTACATGATTATTTATCGCAACAACATATGCAACTCATCAATAATGACACCAGTTGCACTTCACCGGTATGTTATCTGCCGCATGATGGAGGATGACCTAACCGCGGTTGTGCTGAACTGGCGGCGATATCGGGTCGAATTAACAGGAAGATGTACCTCCAAATCTTGGTAGATGAACGAGACGCAGAACTACAACGTATTGTGTGGAGTCCAGCTGGTCAGGAGAACCTGTCACATTATCGCTTAAACAGAGTTATGTATGGTACTAACTGCGCTCCTTATCTGGCGATTAAGGTATTGCACATGTTAGCGGCAGATGAGCAAGACAATTTTCCGGACGCCGCTAAGATACTACTTCATGATTTTACGTCGATGACGTATTGACAGGAGCCGACAGCGTTGCCGATGCCTGCAAATGCCGGGATGAACTCCAAACGTTACTGCAAGCAGGACGATTCACCTTACGTAAGTGGAATTCTAATTCAAGTGAAACTATCCAAACGATCGAGCCAACTTATCTTGAATTAAAAGCATCACATGAATTTCAAGTTGAGACCATGCCAACACATTGGGCTTAGTATGGGCCACTAAATGCGATTGTCTGACTTATTCGCTAAAGATTGATTATACAATTACTATTTTCAAAAAGCGACAATTGTTGTCTGATGTTGCTAGGCTATTTGATCCACTTGGATTTTTAGCCCCCATCATCATCCGAGGCAAAATCTTCATTCAAAAACTCTGGCTTACCGGCCTACAGTGGAACGAGACTTTACCAGACGACCTAAAAGCGACGTGGTTAGCGTTTCGAAGCGAGCTTAAATTGGTGCCTACGATACAAGTTCCTCGTTGGATCCACATAACAAACGATCCTGGGGCACTGAAGGAATTTGTCTCGAATCGAGTAAGCCAAATTCAAGCCTTGACTGCTGTTAGCAACTGGAGATATGTACGAACGTCGGATAACCCAGCTGACTGCGCCTCGCGGGGTTCGACTATACAACAACTCATGCGTCACCCCCTATGGTGGAGTGGACCAGAATGGCTGTTACGTCCCGAAACAAATTGGCCACAACCAGCGCTTAAGAATCCCGATATAATCATGGAATACAAGTCCGTCCAAATTTCCGTTGCGTAAAACGTTCAAATTGACTGGTTTATTTTAGAAAATTACTCATCGTTGGACAAACTTCTTGCTGTTCTTGTTCTTGTTGTTGCAGCGCGACGTAAGCAGCATGAAACAGAACCGATGTGGTTATGGCCTGAGCGAGTCTCTGCTTTAATGTTTTGGGTAAAATTTGTTCAAAATATTGTATTTAAGCGAGATGGAGTAACTATGGCAACACAAAGCACGGTCAACAAAAGCAGTACTCTCTGGAAGCTACACCCTGTACTCGATTCTAGTGTTATTCTACGGTGACAGGTAATAAGATCAACGGAATTAGGGTAAATTGACTATTACCTTTTTAAAACGAAATAAAATCCATTGACATTATTTCCCTTTCAAACATTAAATTTGTTTAGCTTCGCGGCGGCCCGCGTCAGCATGCCAAACCGCGCGCGCCGCGCTCGCACCCCGCGTACCCCGCGTGACCGGCGCGCACACCATGTCACGCTACGCCACAAATTGCAGATAGAGAGTATTAATGAATTCAAGCCCTCGATATTTCACATTTCTATATTTGTAAGTTATTAGAAGCAGGGATGCCAACTTGGCTCAAACCGTGCCTTTTGTCCCTATTTTACTTCAAATGGCACTTAATTTTTCAACTTGGTTGGCAAATGGCACTTTTGTAAAAAAAATTACATTGCAATACATTTTTGTGAAATCCTTTGCGTGCACTTCTTTTTCTCAATTAAAATTTTCTAATTTATATAGGCTATTCAACTGGTTTATCTTATTTTATCATTGCACTTTTGTGTGGGAAATGTAGCTTTATTTTATTGCTAAATGTGAATGATTAAAAGGAATGACACCTTTTTTGGCACTTTTATTTTTCTATTTGACACATTTTGGCACTTTTTTATCCTCAATATGGCACCTCATAAATAAGGATAGTTGCCAGCCCTAATTGGACGATTTCTGCTGTGTTTTGGGGCAACAACTTGTCTGCAGTAAAAAAGCATATCATTTGTGTCTCAAAAGTATGTGAAAACCAATCAATTAACTTATATGATCTCGGTTCCGATATTAAATAATCAATAATTGTTTATACCCGCATTTTGGTACATTGGCTCGTTGAATGTGCCATCTAATAAATAGTGTCGTCATTCTCATTAGCTGGTTCTATATGATGTCGTCACAAATTGCTGGTGGAGACATGAATACAGTGTAAGAAAATTCTTTTTCTATAATTGTTTCCTTATTCCTCAGACATTTCATATTACATACGCTAGGAGTAAACGTGAAGATTGTACCACAAATTATTACAATAAAGAATTTGAACTTTGAATAAAGAATTTGAAACACATATATAAATCCAGTCTTTTTTAAGTCGGCTTAGGCGGTTATTGCTTGCGACCACAGATATATTCTTGCAATACTAGATATAAATACTACTTCGTTCGAAAGCAGGTATGCTTTTCCTATATAATTGTGTATAAGTTTCCAAATAATTTGCAAAAATCTCCAGATACAGAAAAACCGTAAAACCTAAACTATGCACTTATCTTAGCTTTAAATTTTAACGTTTTCGCAGCTATGTTTATCTTTATCTTAAACACGATTTGCATATTTGCACAGATTTGTACATTTAAATNAATTAACTTATATGATCTCGGTTCCGATATTAAATAATCAATAATTGTTTATACCCGCATTTTGGTACATTGGCTCGTTGAATGTGCCATCTAATAAATAGTGTCGTCATTCTCATTAGCTGGTTCTATATGATGTCGTCACAAATTGCTGGTGGAGACATGAATACAGTGTAAGAAAATTCTTTTTCTATAATTGTTTCCTTATTCCTCAGACATTTCATATTACATACGCTAGGAGTAAACGTGAAGATTGTACCACAAATTATTACAATAAAGAATTTGAACTTTGAATAAAGAATTTGAAACACATATATAAATCCAGTCTTTTTTAAGTCGGCTTAGGCGGTTATTGCTTGCGACCACAGATATATTCTTGCAATACTAGATATAAATACTACTTCGTTCGAAAGCAGGTATGCTTTTCCTATATAATTGTGTATAAGTTTCCAAATAATTTGCAAAAATCTCCAGATACAGAAAAACCGTAAAACCTAAACTATGCACTTATCTTAGCTTTAAATTTTAACGTTTTCGCAGCTATGTTTATCTTTATCTTAAACACGATTTGCATATTTGCACAGATTTGTACATTTAAATTAATAACACAAACGGCAATAACGCAAAATTTGCTTTATTTCACTTTTAAATGGGAAATAATACCACAATCTGAGTTTTGCCTTATTTCCCATTGCTTATTTACACTATTTGTAACAAAAACAGTTTACTGACAGAAGGAAAAAGAACTTTGTTTATTCTAAAAAATACCATTAAACAAAAAATGTGATATAATTCATATGAAGAAAGTAATATTCACAAAATATGTTTATTTATGAAAAGTCTAACATAAACAGGGTGTTCCAGAAGTAACGTGCCAAACTCTACGGGCTGGTAGGTGGGGGGTGAGCTCCCTGATAAACAAAAAATTTTCAGGTGAAAGTGTCACCGTTTTAGAAATATTAAAATTTTTTTGAATTAAAAAAAAATCGTGCCTTTTCATGTATTTTCGTTAACTGCATCCACAAACCAGGCTATACTTAGTAAATTTTTTGATGTAAAATACTTCCAGATAGTTGCTTCTCCATACTCAAATGCAATGTAGTTAAAATATATTGAGGAACCATCGTAAAATTAGGTATTTTTTGGGGATTTTTTACCTTTTGATATTTTCTTCACTAACTTTGACTATCTCTGGTGAAAAAATGTACTGAGCTATAACTTTACATTACGTAAAAAAATTTCTCATTTAACAAAGATTTGAGATAGGTGCCAGTCTTACTGTTTCGAATATAAAAAAAAGTTATAGTTGCTATTGTGGGCAAAGGACTGAGCCACGCTAGAATGTATTTAACAGTTGCTCTTGTTACCGACCAATGACACGCTAAATAGTACAAAGGAACATTATTACCTGTTCCTGACATTATTTTATGCTACTTACCGGTATTCGGACTAGAGTCTATCAATATATGTTGTGAGGGATGGGTTCACGTGAAATAAAATATACACGAGTTGTTTGAAGAAAAATCTTAACTTTTTTTAAATTACGATTACTGTAATCGTAATCTAAGTTCGTTCGATGAAGGATTACTATAATCGCAATCTCGTTTTTTTAGCTTGTTGGGATTACTGCAATCTAAAGGATTAGTAATCGTAATCCTTATCGGCCAGCTCTGAATGGTGCTTGCAATGTGAGTCTTGGTACGCATGGCTGGGTGGGAATAGCGCTGTTTCGGCGGTCGGTTGTGCCGGAGCATGATTACGTGCTCGGCGGCAGTGCTTGGTCCAGTAATGTTGGATAATCATGTCGGCTCTCTGCTCTGCTCTTCGTCCAAGGGTGTTCTCTCTGTCAGGCAGCACAGAGTGGGTGGAGAACCTGTCTAGTGTAACGACGATGCTTCATCTTGCAAGGAGGTCTATTTCTGGTATCATTTGCTCCGCCAGGTTAGGGATCACCACTACCGATGGGCGCGTGGATCGATTGTTATATTTAATCCTGACGAGATAAGTGTGCGCTCTAACGACACACTTTTGATCTGCGAGTTGCACACTCTCTTTGTTGGGTTGTGGCCGGATGTTGTAGAGCTGGGATACTGTCGATAGTAATATCGATAGCATCGATTGTTGAAAACTGCAGCCACTGTCGATAGTTATTGAAAACTATCGATGTCGGTTTTAGCGCAACTTCACAATGTCTCTTCATTAATGTCATTAATTTTTTTATGCAAGAAAATTCACCACAGTCGGCAAAAAAAATTTAATTTAAATTTAATTTTTAGCAACTTTAAGCTCACACTGAGTTATAGTAAAATTTAGTAAGCTATAATACTGCTTACACAAAA